GGGGGGGGTTCTTTGGGATTGGAGATGGAAAACTAGGTAGCCATACAGAAATCGTAACAATGTATTAGTCCCCAGATATACTAAATTCCAGATGGCCAAAAAGTCTTTATGTGGGCCAGGTGTAGTGGAGCATGCCTTTAATCCCAGCAAAATTAAAAAATTAATGTCTCAAGAACTATTTTTGGTCTTTTTTGAGACAGGGAGACCTGTGCTATGGTGCCCATGTGGAGGTCAGAGGATAATTTTCAGGAGTTGGTTCTTTCCTTCCACCTTTACATGGGATTCAGTGACTGAACTCAGGTCACCAGGCCTCCCTGGCAAGCGCCTTTACCTCCTGAGCCATCTTACTGGCCTCACAAAATCATTTTTCTAAACAAAACATAAATCAGTTAATGGATGTGTTTATAGTATTCAACTCACCAAAGTTTAGCAATCATTAAGTGCACAAATGGGAAAATGCAAAAACAAGTAGCTAAGCATCTTTACATTTGGGTGGAATAGTTATAGCAGCATGTTCTATTCATGCTGTCTTTGAAGTCAGTAAATAGATCTCTGCACATGTCTAATGTTTGGAGCGGGACAGGTTTTTTTTTTAAGAAGTAGTTATGTCATGCATTTTATAAGTTTCTTGTAGTTTATAAACAGCTTTCATTTTGATATGTTCACAAGGTTGGCACTTCTGGTTTTCTCATTTAAAAAACGACCTCGGTCAAGCAAAATTTGATTCTGTTATTTGACCTAAGTGGTGTCTCCTCAAACATCAGTCTTAGGCACTAAATGAAGTCTCTTCAATTCTTAGCTTCAATTTCCTTATTGTAAAGTGAATATTCCAACTAAAATAAAATTTGAACTAACACATAAACCATGTCAAAACAGAAAGCTGGAGAGGTTCATCTGTTAATTTAGGTACGCTTAATTTCAGCTCCTCACCTTGCTAGATGTGTTATCCAGGGAAGGACATGTTTTAACAGAGACTAGGCCTTTAATATGTACACATGGACAGATGGGTCCTGACTTAATAGTTCAACTTAAAGGTGGTATGAAAATAATATGCATTCAGTAAAAAGAATACTCTGCATTTTGATCTTTTCCCTGGTTAGCCATTCACCTAGTAAAAGGCTATGTGCTATGTTGCTAAGCTATGGTATTGGGTAGGCTAGGTGTATGTACTTTATTTTTTAGTTTGTATTACATGTTCATGCATGTGCACATGTATGTACAGAAAGCCAAAGGAAATCAACTGTCCTCAATTACCTTCCATCTTATTTTTTAAAATTTTGTGTGGGCTTTTGCATGCAAGTGCAGTGTCTACAGAGGCCAGAACAGGTCACTGGATCCCCTGGAGCTAGAGTTACAAGTGGTTGTGAGCCATCTGACCAAACTTGGGTCCTCTGGAAGAATAGCAAGTGCTCTTAACCCCTGAGCCATCTCTCTAGCCCCATGTTAATTTTTGAGTCAGGGTCTCACACTGAACCTGGGGCTTACCAACTTAGCTGGGCTAGTTGCAAGCCCAGGGATCCTCCTGTCTCTGCATCCCCAGTGCTGGGATGACAGGCATGTATGTCACCAGTGTCCAGCTCTTACATGGGTATTCAGGTCCTTATTCTTGCACAGCAAGCACTCTATCAACTGAGTCATCTCCCCAGCCCCTATGTACTAAATATATTTTTGATTGCGAGCCTGAGCCTTTAACGGCTGCGCCAGCTCTCCAGCCCGTACTAAATATATTTTTAACTTATATTTACAACCTACCATGAGTTTATCAGGTTGTAACCCTCTGGAAGTCTGGTTTTGTTTGTTTTTAGACAGGATACACAACGCTGAGAGGGATTTGAGCCCACTTTCAAGCTAGATTGTCATTTTCAGTTGCCCTCTTAGCAGTTATTCCCATAAAGGTGATGAGAGTTGAAGCTATTACTGGAACAAACCACACCTAAATCGCTGCTTTAGGCATTTATAACTCAGATGGTCAGGAGCCCAGACCAAGGGCAGTCTGCAGTTGGTCTGGACAACCTGCCGCCGGTACCATTTCCACCATAATGCTGCCACCAAGCCTAAATTCCAGAACAGCTCCCAGAAAGCACCACCAAGACGGAGAGGATGCAAGTGGACAGTTTTGCCTCTAGAAGCCCACTCAGGCCACGAGGCAGCGCGAGCACAGGCGCCCGGCCCGGGCGACCGCCGCCGCCACACTGGCTTCCAGATGGCGCTGTCGGACTGGCCTCGGTTTAAAACAGCAGCGGGGCCGCAGGCGGAAGCTAGAAGCATAGAGAAAAAGCCACTCTCTGGCTAGAGGGACGATTCCCAGGAACCGCCGGGGTCCCGATGCACTTCCGCTTCCAGTTCTTTGTTCCGGAAGTTGCTTTCTGAGGCTGCGTGTCTATTCGTGTGGTCTTTGTGACTCCCACCATGGCGTACCGCGGCCAGGGCCAGAAGGTGCAGAAGGTGATGGTGCAGCCCATTGTATCCTGCGCGTCGTGTGGGGCCTAGGGGCTTTGGGTCCGTGGAGGACGGGAGCGCAGGCCGGGAGCAGGCCCGGGCGCTGACCCGCCGCTTCCCGTGAGGCCCCGGGGCGGCCAAGGCTGCGGGAAAGCGCGGGGAGTTGGAAGCGCGGGCGGGCGGACGGGCGGACGTGTGTGTGAGGCTCTGGCTGCGAGTGGAGGCGGAGTTGGCACCCCGGAGGTTTCGGGAACCGAAGACAGCTGCGGCCAGTGCCGGTAGAGGTTTTAGGGCGCTGCCGTGAGCGCCCCAGTATGGTCACTTCTGGTGGCCAGCAGGGGAAAACGTCAGGTGAGGGTTGGTTAGTCCTGTTCCAGGGAGCAGATTCCATGCTCTGCGTGTGTTTTCCTGAATCACTGTGGTGCAGAACCTCATCTTCAGATACTTGCAAAATGTACGTAAGTTCCTTGTTTCCTTACTGCTACTGAAATAAGAGTTGGGTTTACTTGGCTATTTGTATCAACTTCCCTGGTGGTTGTGTTTTAGAGTTTAAAAATGAATGAATTCCCGAGATTGGGACAATGGAGGGGAAGGTTACACGGAAAGCTCTTAATGCAATAAAAAGGTTTACATCTGGGCCAGCTTCAGGCATGCACACAGTTGTCACTACTCTGCAGGGGAAAAGTTACTAATTGCACAGCATTAGTAAACGTGACAGTAGCAATTAGATATTGCTAACTTTTCCCTTAGGAAAAAATAGGAAGACAGTAAAAAAAAAGGAAGGGTAGATTGAGAAAAGTTGCTGGCAACTGCTGTTCTTTGGAAAGATTTTTAACTGTAAATTTTATAGTGTTATCACATAGTTGAAAAATAATTTTAAACCACTGCGATTTTTAATTGTCAGAATTGAAATTAGGTGTGTGACAAGGAAACTTGAAAACCTAGGGGGGAAAAAGCTGCATCTGGATTTTGCTCTGGCAGATTTGAAAAAAGGACTTGCTCAATAGAGACAACTGCTTTGTACTTCACTGTTAGCATTGATACAGGAAGTAGTGATGAATTAAACCTCAAGAGCTTATGAAAATTATTAGTTGGGGCAGCCCCGTAGTAGCATTTATTAGATGAAAATGTTACCAGTTCCTAGTTAAAATTTTTGGCTTTTGCGGGACATGGTGGTGCACGCCTTTAATCCCAGCACTTGGGAGGCAAAAGCAGGTGGATCTCTCTGAGTTTGAGGCCAGCGTGGTCTACGTAGTGAGTTCCAGGCCAGCTAAGGCTACAGGGAGAACCTGTCTAAAAAAGACAAAGAAAAAATAATTCTTGGCTTATATTCACTGAACCTTTAGAAGATGTTTATTATGGGTTCAAAACAACTGAAGTAACTCGGTTTATGTTTTAAAAACATTCCTATTTTTATTTCAGAGATCTCGGATTCAGGTGTGGCTGTATGAACAAGTGAATATGCGGATAGAGGGTTGTATAATTGTGAGTACCTGGACTATTTTTCATAGAGAAGTTTGTTACTAGTAAAAGATTCACGGAAAATGCAAGCCAGAGCAATATGCAAACAGGCAAGGCCTTAACCCAAGGAAAGCTTTTTTAGACTATTTTGCCTTGTCCTAGTTTGTTTCTCCATTGCTGTGACAAAGTACTCTGACCAATACCAACTTGGGGAGGAAAGGATTTATTTTATCTTACATCTTCTGCATCAGGGAACCCAAGGTAGAAACTCGAAGCAGGAGCTGGAGCACAGGCCATAGAGGAACGCTGCTTACTGGCTTGCTCCCCTGGCCCATGCTCAACCTGCTTTCTTATATAACATAGGCCCAGGGGTGGCACCACCGGCAGTAGGCTGGGCCCTCCTACATCACTCAACAATCAAGAAAGTTCCCCCACAGACATGGCCACAGGCCTGTCCAATGGAGGCAATTCCCCAACTGAGGCTCCCTCAACCCAGGTGTGTCAAGTTGACACTAAAGAGAGATGGTTCAGCAGTTAAGAGCACATACCATTCAGGACTGGGGTTTAGCTCCCCATATCAGGTGGCTCACAACTGCCTATAACCATAATTTCAGGGGGAACTAATGCCTCTGGCCTCTGAGGACACCTGCACTCATGTGCATATACCCACACTCATAAACATAATTAAAAATAAGTCTTTTTAAAAAAAGTTTTTCTTTAATATTTATGTGCAGAGGGTTTCAGATACCTTGGAACTGGAGTTTTGGAGGGTTGTTAAGCCACCATGTGGGTTCTGGGAACCGAACCTGAGTCCTCTCTAAGAGCAGCCAGTTTTCTTAGCCACTGAGCCATCTCTCCAGCCCCAGAAAAGTATTTTTTTAAAAGAAGGTTTTAGTAGTTTTTGAGGTGGGGTCTTGGCGATGTAGTTCAGTCTGTCCTTGAACTTGAGATTCTACCTCAACCTCCTGAATGCTAGAATTATAGGCCGCATCACTCATGCTCAGCTGCAATATTGTTTCTTTTTATGTATGTGTACATGTTCATGTGGAGGCCAGAGGTAAACAGCAGGTGCCTTCCTCTCCACCTTATTTGTTGAGACAAGCTCTCTTACTGAACCTGAAGCTCACTGATTTGACAAAACTATGTGGGCAGCAAGCCCCAGGGGTGGTCCTGTCTCTGCCTCCTCAGTGCTAGGATTACAGATGTGTGTCACCGTGCCCTGCTTTTTTCATGAGTGCTGGGGAGTCAGACTCAGGTCCTTAAGCTTGTATAATAAGTACTTTACTGACAGCCATCTCCCTAGCTCTCCAACCCTTTCCATTATGGGAAGAAAAAGAAAACATTTCTGCTGGTATTGTTAGGATACTTTGATATTCTTTTTAGATATCAGATGTTCCATCAATAATTACTTTTTCACCAGTTGGAAAACAAACATGGTAGTATGCTGTAATAGTATTTGTAAGGAACAGTAGCAGTGGCAGAAGGTAATTTGTGTGCACAGTACTCTGTTGGGTAGGTTATACAGGATAGGGAGAGGCACTGCCTAGCATAGCTAAATCCTAAGTCCAAAAGATTGAAGAAGTACTTGGATCACATTTTGGCTGCTTTTGTTATTTAAAAAGAGACATATTGGTAAAACACCTGCCTAACAATTGGAAGGCCCTGGTTTAATCCCCAGTACCATCCAAAACAAAACCAAAGAAAAAAATAAATTGAAAAATGCCCTAAGAGTGGGGTGTGTTACATTTGGCCAGGCATGATGGCACACACCTTCAGTCCCATCACTTGGGGTAGAGGCGGAAAGATCAGGAGTTTGAGGCCATCCTTGGCTACAAGGCAGGTTTGAGATAAGCCTAGGGTACATAAGACCCTGTCATATATATGAAAATAGAGACTTCAAGTGTTTGAGCTGAAGGATGAATTCCTAAAGTTGGTGTATCTGTATGTGACCTTTTAGAATGGTTTGAATATGATTTACAATGACTTGTGATTGACTTTCTAGGGTTTTGATGAGTATATGAACCTCGTATTAGATGATGCAGAAGAGATTCATTCTAAAACAAAGTCAAGAAAACAGCTGGGTAAGAATATAGTTGACTTTACAGATTTCTGTGTATTTCACTGGCAGAACTGAATGACCAGTAACTCTGTTCATGTTTACATTTGCAAAGTTATTTTGGAAGATAAAGTACACTTGAGATAAATGCTTTATATGATTTTTATTTTATGTGTATGAGTGTATTGCCTGCATGTATGTAAGTGCACCCTTTTGATCGATGCCCGGGGAGTCAGAAAAGACCATTAGATCCCTGGAAATGGAGTTACTGACAGTTGTTAGCTTTCATGTGGTTGCTGGGAACTGAACCCAGGTCCTCTGCAAGAGCATCCATGCTTTTAACTACTGAATCATCTCTCCAGCCCCATTTATTTTTTTTGAAAGAGTTGTCTCATGTAGCCCAGGCTAGTCAAGTCTCAATCTTGCTATGTAGCTGAGAATGACACTAAACTGATCCTCCTGTCTCCACCTCCCAAGTGCTGACATCATAAGTATGTGCCACCATGCCCAGCTAAGGTGTTAAATATCATAGTCATTACTAGTGTTCACTTATATTTAACATTAAAAAGAATTTTGACACAGTTGGCTGCTTCTCCCTACAACATTTCAAAGGATCCCTTGGTTCTGTGACAATTTTTTTTTTTTTTTGAGGCAGGGTTTTCCTATAGCCCCAGCCTACCTGGAACTCGCTATGTAGACCAGGCTAGCCTGAACTCACAGAGATCCGCCTGCTTCTGCCTCCCCTAGTGCTGGGATTAAAGGCACATGCCACCACACCCCACATTCACCATATACTCGTAAATGTGCTGTTGCCTGTGTCTTTAGAGCTCAGATTCAATAATACTTTTTCTAAGAAGTCCAAGATTTAATTTGGCTTTGCTTAAGGTGGGAAAAGGCAGAGTATGGTGTTTGGGTTTCTTGTAAAACATTCATTAGTGGTATTTTATGAATGTCTCACACACAATTTCTTAAACTCTGGTAACAAGGGATCTTTAGGGTTCATGGTCTATAGAGACATTGAATCATTTAACATCTCATTGACTTAGTTTTTATTGAGGTTTTTTTTGTTGTTAGAAATGTTCATTGTGGGGGAGCTCATGAGATCAATCAGGTTAAGAGCATTTGCTGCTCTTGCAGAGATCCTGGGTTCAATTCCCAGCATCCACAGTGGTGGCTATGTGCTTTAAGATCTGTAACTCCAGTTCCAGGGGATCTGGTGCCCTCCTCTGGCCTCCGTGGATATTGCATGACACAGGTGCACTTATATACATGCAGGCAAAACACCCATGTACATAAAATAAAAAATTTTTAAAAGTACATAGCTCACTAATTCATTTATCAATGGTAGAGTCCCTAGGGATTCTCTGGAACCTATTCTAGACAGTCGGAAAGTAGGTTCCAAGAAATGATAATGTTCGATTTTTGAGATGGTCTCACTCTGTTATAACCCAGGGTGACCTTAAACCTGACATCCTGCCTTGGCCTCTCAGTTCTGGGATTACAAGTGTTTACCATCTTTCCCAGCAAGATAGAGTCATTAACATATTAACAGTTCTGAAGAGGGGATGAAAAGATGCTGGCATTTGTCAAACTTGATCATGCACCTCATTTCTAAACTTCTATAAACTTAGCACTGGGAATTACTGGATCAGGCCTTTTCAGTTGACCTAGACTATGAAAACTACTTTTCATTAAAACAGTTCTATTTTAAGTAGGCTATTATTGAAAAGATACATATCTGCCATTAAACCTGATGGAAAACCTTTCAAAATAGGGAAACTTAAAATGTTCACATACCTTTCCAAGAGAGAACTATCTCAGAGTATTGTTCAAAAACTAAATTCTGAGGCTAAAAGATGATTATATCTCTTTATTAACAATTTTTGTTGTTGTTACAGGTCGGATCATGCTAAAAGGAGATAACATTACTCTGCTACAAAGTGTGTCCAACTAGAAATGCTCAAGGAAGTGAGAAGTTGAGAAGGCAATATAGTTTGTTCTTTTTTAAAGGTGTCTTCTGGGAGAATAGTTTGCAACATTTACTCATATTGTTTTTCACGATTCTTACTTATTATCAGGTGACAATAAATGCTGTGAGATTGTTTTTGTTAAATTTTTACATTGCTTCTTTGAATCCAAGGGTAAAAACCTTTTACATAGTGGTTCTTTTAGCTGTTGATACTTAAAAAATTCTGATGGATTGCCAGTTGCCCTGGGCATTTGCTTTTCTCAGAGCGTGAACCTGTCCATTCTTGAGGCAAAGAATAAGAATTCTATGTGACAAGTAAGCTTCTGATATTGGGTGGGGGTGGCGAGGCAACAAACCAGGGGTGTTGCACCAATTATTCATTAGTTCTTATCTGGGGATCTGGAAGTATAGTTCAGCGATAAATGCTTACATAGTGTGCATGAATTCCTGGTTTGATCCCCAGTATTACAAACAAAAATTACTTTGGATGCTAGAACGCTAGATTTCTGAGTACGTTAGTTGAGGACATTTTAACAGCTCTACTGTTTGCCTCACACTCTTATTGAGACACTGAGGTCTTTGAGGATTTTATCACTGAGATCAGAATAGAGAAGCCAGGCATGCCTATAATCCCAGCAGAAGAGAGACTGAAGCAGGAAGATCAGAAGTTCAAGGTTAGTCTGGGTTGCATAGCAAGACCCTGTTTCACAAGAGTAAACTGAGGAATATTTGACTGTAGACAAAGAATAAGATACCTTTAAAGTACATTGAAAATAAGTGATTGGTTAAGACTTACTAAGAAAAAAAAGACTAAGAAATAGGAAGGGCACATTTTAAGATTGGTAGTATGGAAAAGGCCACAAACAACTGGTAAATTGTTAGAAATATAGTAGCATATTGGAGAGCCTCATTCTTTAAGGATTTGGCTAAAACTCATTGAGTGATAAAATATGTTTCACTGGGTAAAGCATCGGCCATGCAAGTGTGAAAAGGAGTTTGGACCTCAGAACCTGCATGAAAGCTGGGTGGGTGTGACAGCCTGCTTGGGAGACCAGTGTGTGGGAGGTGGAAACAGGTATCCTTGGTGCAAGCTCTGGGTTCAGTAAGAGACTTCCTCAATATATAAAGTGAAGAGCGAGGAAGACACCTGGTATCATCTTTGGACCTCTGTATACATGAACACACAAACACTTGCACACACAAATATACACATACACAGGAAAAAAAACACTTTGTTTTCCCTTTTAAATATTTTTTTACATTTATTTGGAAGGGGGAGGGTGAACATGGTGTGTGTGTGGAGGTCAGGGGGCAACTTGTAAGAGTCCCTTCCAGTAGGAAATTGAACTCAGGTAATCAGGTGTCATGGGAAGGTCCTTGACCCGCTGAGCCACCTCACTAGCCATATTTACTTCTTGTATGTGTGTGAATGCAGGTGTATTCATGCCATTATGCACATACAAAGATCAGAGGATAATTTTCAGTAACAGCTTCTCTCTGCTGTGGAATCTGGAGATCATATTCAAGTTGTCAGATTTGATAGTGTAGCAGGTGCTTTTATATGCTGAGCCATGTTGTACGCCTCTGTTTTTCTTTAAGATTTAATTTTTTTGTGTATATGTGTGCATGTGTATGTGTCTCTAGGTGTATGTGAATGTGAGTGTAGACGTCCATGGAGCTAAACAAGGACATCTGTTCCCTTGGAGCTGGAGTTGCAGGCTTTTGTGAATTGCTTGACTTGGGAGCTGGGAATCAAACCTGGATCCGTTGCAAGAGCAACCAATGCTCTTAACTGCTGAACCATCTCTTCAGTCCCAGGATCCTCTCATTTTACGCTAGCATACAAAGTAATAGGTTTCATTAGGGCATTTTCGTGCATGTCATGTTTTGTTGATTGGTCCTCCCTCACTTCCCTCTTTTTTGTCTCCTGCTCCTCCCTCTGGCTAGTTCCAGTCCTCTTCCCCATCCCCCCATGGCCCTTCCTCCCTTAAGTTTCCTCCTTCCTTCTCATTATCTCCTTTCTAGTTTCATCACACACATACACAAACACACACGAGTCTGAGTTTGTTGTGTGGTTGTGTGAGTGAGTCTGAGCACACAAGTGCCATGTCATGAAAGTTAGAGGATGCGATGGTTTGAATGAGAATGTCCCCCCATAGGCTCCAAGTATTTGAACACTTACTTGGTGGGTTGGTGGTACTGTTTGGGGATGGCCGTCGAACCTTGAGGAGGTATGGCCTTCATGAAGAAAGCAGGTCACTGGGGACAGACTTTGAGAGACTGCCTCATCCCACTTTCAGTTTCTCTCTCTGCTTCCTGTGCCTGCCTGAAGATGTGAGTGTTCGCTTTCTGCTTCAACTGCCCCCTGCCACGATGGACTCTTATTCTTCTGGAACTATAAGCCCAATAAACTTCTTCCTACAAATTGCCTTGGTCACAGTATTTTATCACAGAAACAGAAAAGTAACTAATACAGAGGTCAACCTCAGGTGTTGGCCCTCACCTTCCATTTTATTTGGGACAGGGTCTTTTGCTGCTCATCACTTCATACATAGGCTAGCTGACCAGTGGGGCTTCTGAGGATTCTTTTATCTCCACTTCTATCTCACTATATAGGAGCACTGAGATTGAGGTGTGCTCCTATATCCAGCTTTATGGAGGTTCTGGGAATTCAAACTCAGGTCTTGGTGTTCCTACTATGGCAAGCATTTTACCCATTGAGCCATCTCCCCAGCACTTAAAAAGCTTATGTTGTTTTCTTTTTTTTTTTTTTGTGTGTGTGTGTGTGTGTGTGTGTGTGTTTGAGACAGGCTCTCCCTGGAGTCCTAGCTGGCCTAAATCTGCCTGCTTCTGCCTCCCAATTGCTGGGATTAAAGGTGTGTGGCATCACACCTGGCCCACATCCAGCTCTTAAAAGCATTTTTAATTTGCATTTCTCAGATGGCTAAAAAGATTTGAACACAGCAAAAATGGCTGATTTTCTTCGAAAACTAGTTCATTAACACATTTCTTGATTGGATGATTTGGGGGTTTGTGTTTTTGTTTCTTGGTCTTTTTGAGGCAGGGTCTCCATATAGCCACAGCTGACCTGGAACTCAGTATGAGCCATCTCCCCAGCACTTAAAAAACTATTTTGGGGGGGCTTTTGAGACAGGCCCTCCCTGGAGCCCTAGCTGGCCTAGAACTCAGATCCACCTGCCTCTGCCTCTAGAGTTTAAGTTCTTTATATATTCTAAATATGAGTCCCTTGTCTGGTCTGTAATTGGCAAAGATTTTTTTCCCCATTCTGTAGACTGTCACCCATTTGTCAGCTCTTGGGATTCATGTCCTATATCATCGGAATCCTTTTCAGAAAGTATATATTTTCCTCTGTTTCAGGATTTCAGGTCTCGCATTAAAGTTATTTTTGTTTGGTTTTAGTTTGGTTTTGGGTTTTTGGTTTAAGAGAGGGTCTTGGATAGTCCAGGCTGGTATCAAACTCACTATGTAACCAAAATTGGCCTTGGAAACTATAGCACTGGCCTTCATCCTTTTAAAAAAAAAAAAAAAAAAAAATTATACATGCCAAGCCTGGTGGTGGTGCATACCTTTTGATCCCAGGACTCAGGAGGCAGAGGCAGGCAGATCTGTTTTGGTTTTGTTTTAGGTTTTTTTTCTTACATATTTTTATTGATTTATTTTATTTTTTTGCAATTTTCATACAACTTGATCATATTTAGACCCCCCTCCCCTCTCTGCACCTCTTATAGCCCCCTCCCACACACACACAGGTTTTCATGTATTCTCGTATATTGGGGCAAGTTTCTGTCTCCAAGTGTCTGTCAATGTGAGTCCATCCACTGGAGCCTGGTTACCTTATCTAGTGTCACTCCCTTAAAGAAACCAATTCCCTCTCCCAGTAGTGATTGGTTGCCAATAGTTTCTCTGCTGAGGTTGGAGTTTCTTACCCATTTCCCCCTTCTATGCTGGGATTTTGTCTAGTTTGAACTTTGAAGGGTCTTATGATGTCACCACTGCTGTAAGTTCAAGAGTAGCTTCCCAGTTGTCTGGAAAACTACTTGTGGTCTTCCACCACCAATGGCTCTTAGAGTCTTTCCACCCCTTCTGCAATGGTCCCTGAGCCCTGGGTGGCAGAAGTATGGTACAGGTGTCCTACCTAATTCTCTTGTTCTCTGCCCTTTGGCCAGATGTGGGTTTCTAGGTTAATGACCATCTGTTGCATGAAGACGTGTAGCTGGTGAGTTGAGAGATGCATTCATATTCTTTCTGCCTCCTGTTCTGTTATGTGTTCCAGGCCTGGATCTCAGATCCACCTACCTCTGTCTCCCAAGTGCAGGGATTTAAGGTGTGCACCACCACACCCTGCCTCATCCTGCTTTTTTATTGTTTTTTTTTGTTTGTTTGGTTTTTTTTTTGTCTTTGAGACAGGGTCTCCCTGTAGCCCCATCTGTCCTGGAACTCACTGCTTAGACCAGGCTGGCCTTGAACTCTTGAACTCACAAAGATCCACCTGCCTCTGCCTCCCAAGTGCTAGGATTAAAGTCGTGCACCACGCCCCACTTTATTGTTGGTTTTTAGGACAGTTCCCCCAGTTCTCCCTATAGCCCCAGCTGGCCTTGACCTCACAGAGATTCTCCTGCCTCTGCCTCCTAGGTGCTGAGATTAAAGGCATGCATTATAAAGCCTCAATATCTTTTAAATTTGTTCTCAAATTACATTCCTTTATTCTGTACAGATGGAGGTCAGAAGACAAAGGAGTTGGTTCTTTTCCTACCATGTGGGGGTCCAGGGATGGAACTTGGGTCATCAGGCTTGGAGGCAAGTGCCTTTACCTGCTGAACCATCTGGCAGCCCTATCTCAGTCTTTGAGCTCAGTTGAGGAGTTGGGATCTTTTGGAGGCGCTAGGCAGGGTGGCGCATGCCTTTAGTCCCAGCAGCAGGGAGACAGGAGTGAGCGAATCTCTCTGATGTCGAGCGAGGCTAGTCTAGTCTGTTTAGTGCCAGGCCTGCTAGGGCTACAAGTCCCAAAAAGACCAAAAAAAAAAAGTGTTTTTGGGGAACCATGTTGCCTTGATTTTCCATGTTTTTGTTGTGTTTTGTTTTTAAAGGGTCTCTGAGTTCAAGGCCAGCCTGGTCTATGGAGC